CGACGAACAAATACATGTGAAGAAGTTTTCAAACACGGATGAACGAAAACATCAATGGACTGTGGACGAAGGGGAGCAGGTTTAACTGAACGCATTGCGTTTGTAAGCCTGCTGACGTATGAAGCGTGATCTACCACTGGTGGGAAGCTCGAGGGAGAAACAAATTCACCAGGCAGTCGCAGTGTCGTGCCATATACTAGCTCGGCGCTAGTACAACCAGCATCGGTTTTCAAGGCGTTTCGTATCCCTAGGAGAACTAACGGAAGGGATTCAGTCCAATGGGTGGTGTTTGCGGCTGACAGACCAGCTTTCAGCTGTCTGTGTAGACGTTCTACCATACCATTAGCTTGAGGATGGTAGGCTGTTGTTCGAAAACGCATGCAACCTAGTCAGGGCGAAGAATAAGCCACTTTCGAATTGCCGCCCGCGATCAGTTGTTATGGAAGATGGGCATCCAAAGTTAGCGATCCATCTTTCTACGAAGACGCGTGCGACTGTTTCAGCAGATACGTCCTTGATGGGTACTGCTTCCGGCCATCGTGTGAATCGATCGATGCAAGTTAAAATATAAGTATATCCATGGGATTCAGGAAGGGGTCCAACCAAATCTATATGGACGTGTTCGAAACGAGCGTCAGGGAGAAGAAAGGTGCCAAGTGGGCTTTTGGTGTGTCTTATCACCTTGCACTTTTGACAAGCTAAGCACGTGTGTGCCCATTCCCTTACTTCTTTATTAATGCCAGGCCAACAAAACCGACTAGTTACGAGCTTGACAGTAGTTCGAATACCTGGGTGAGATAAGCCATGCAACGTATTGAAGACGTTACGGCGATAACTTTTAGGCACGATGGGGCGAGGAGTACTCGTGGAAATGTCGCATAGAATAGTATCTCTTCCCATACCTAAGGGTTTCTCAGCTAATTGTAGAGTTGTTTTCGACAACTCATGTTGAAGCTCGGTGTCTTCTTTTTGAAGACGAGCCAGTTTTACAAGGTCTATGCCGTCGATTTGGGTGAGGGAACAAACGCGCGACAAGGCATCTGCCACAGTGTTGTTTACTCCGGATACATGGCGAATATCTGATGTAAACTGTGAGACGTAATCCAGTTGTCGTGATTCCCTGGGTGAATACTTATCTGAAGGTGAGTTCAGAGAGTACGTCAGAGGTTTGTGATCCGTAAAAATTATGAATTCACGACCCTCTACCGAATGTCTAAAATGTCGTATAGCACAGTACATAGCCAGAAGTTCTCTGCCGAATGTGCTGTACTTCGTTTCAGCTAATTGAAGGCGCCTGGAGAAAAAGGCGAGTGGTTGCCACTCATTGTCAACTAGCTGTTGTAGAACTGCGCCGATTGCAGTGTTTGATGCATCAACCGAGATACTTAACGGTGCCGTTGGATCCTGATACATCAGAAGTGTGGCATTCGCAATAGCTTTTTTAATCTGGGTAAAAGCATTTCGAGCAGACGCGTCAAGTTCTATGGACTTGTTATTCCCTCGAAGGAGGTCTGTCAATGGCTGAATCAAAGAGGCACAGTTGGGAATAAAGCGTCGATAATAACTTACTAAGCCGTTAAAAGTGCGGAGACTTTTCACCGTCTGTGGCTCTGGAAAGTTCAGTATAGCCTCGACCTTAGTAGCCAGTGGGCGAATGCCCTTGCAGTCAATAGTGTGACCCAGAAAGTCGAGTGAGTCAACACCGATTTGACACTTTTGAATATTAATGGTAACACCATGTTGGCGTAACCTTTCAAATGCCAAGTCCAAATGTCTAAGGTGAGTTTCCTTGTCTGGACTGGCAATGAGGCAGTCGTCCAAGTATGCGTATACAAAGTCGAGAAGCGTTGGAATGTTTGGGCTGCATTCCGGAGACCGAATGGCATACGTAGAAATTCAAAAAGTCCGAAAGGCGTAATGATACCCGTTTTCGGAATATCCTCTGTTGCCATCGGGATTTGGTTATACGCTTTAACCAAATCGATTTTGGAGAATATAGTCGCGCCTGATAAGGTGGCCGTCAAGTCGTGTATATGAGGCAACGGGTAGCAATCAGGGGTTGTTTTGGCATTCACTCGCCGGTAATCACCGGCGGGTCGCCAATCGTTGCTATCCTTTTTCGGAACCATATGAAGTGGGGATGCCCATGGGCTATTCGGAGGTCGAATGATGCCAAGGGTAAGCATATGGTCAAATTCATTCCTGTCGATTCTCAGTTTGTCAGTAGCTAATCGTCGTGCTTTAGATCTCACAGGCTGTCCTGTGGTAGTGATGTGGTGCACAACATTGCTGGTAATGCACGGTAGGTCGTTCGACAGGCATTCAAGTTCCGGATACTTGTCAACCGTAGGTTGAAAAGTTGGATCAAGAATTGCCTTTATCTCAACGGGTGACAAACTGGGGCCTATGTAGCTGGTGCCTTTGATAGACAGACTAGTAGTATTCTCAATCAGTCGTTTTCGGCGGACGTCTACGAGTGAATCATGATGATTAAGTAGGTCCGTGCCAATGATGGGCATTGTAACGTCAGCGAGAAGGAAAATCCATCGAATAGGTTTGCGTAAACCCACATTCAAATAGACGTATTTTCTACCAAAGGTTGCGATTGGTTTTCCATTTGCAGCCTGTAAGTTGAACGTAGGTTCATTCTGTCGATCTGCTGTTGTAGCAGGAAGGACACTGACTTCGGCGCCTGTGTCGACTAAATATCGAGTCTGGTTTATCACACCATGGATGTAAAGTAGGCGGCTAGTGCCAACGGCGACGGTCGCCGCTAACGCGTGCCGGCGGGATAGTTTCCCACAGACTTTGAGACATTGCCGAAGTTACAAGGCTTACGGCAACACTTTGCTGCTTGGCCATAGGTGTTGTGGTACCAGCACCAGTCAGGGTTTTTCAGTGAACGTGGTTTGGACTTAGATCGACCACGTGAGTTCCTGAGTCGAGGAGATTTAGGACGACGGTCGGAGGATTTAGAAGGCATGTTTGACCTAGACATCTGTTGGATGGAGTTGCATAACTCTATCATTGCAGGATCCTTACTCCAAGTCTGCTTAGTCATCGAGCATATTTCGGGAACTGACCGTTTAGTCATTTCTAGAATCCTATCTGCAGTAATAGCTAAGTCCTCTATTACAGTACCCTGAAGTGTCATAAGTACGGTCTGTACAGACTGTGGCAGCTTGGTTAAGAAGAGTTCTCTAAACAGTCCTTCGTCGAACTGACTTTGGCCGACGACTTCTTTCATTCTTGTCAGCATGCTCACGGCTGACTGATCTCTTAACTCGATGTTACGAAATAATTCGTCCAGACGTCGGTCAGTGAGAATGTTTCTCCTGAGGAGGGATGCTTTGAGCACCTCGTACGAGTTACTTACCTCGGGACTGAACATCTGTGATGTTATGTACTTGCTGAATTCCCGCGGTAGGGCGTGAATAACTGCAAGTAACTGTGAACATTGATCGGTCATCCCATGCTCACAAAAATCCGCTTCAGCTAGCTGAAACCACGTTTCAGCATTATCTGGCCAGTATGGTACAAGCTGAATGGTTTTAGGAGTTGAGCGGATACGAACGACCTTGGGACTAAGATCACTCATAACGAAGATTATGTAGAATAATATATGGTGCAAGAACAAATACAAAATGGAACGAACTCACCGGGGTTATCTGCAGATTTATCGTGGGTGAAGTTCGCGGTTGGGCTCACCAGTTTAGAGGGGTTGACGGAATTATCTTACACAGCCTCTAAATTATTCTCGCGTACCAACAACAAAGCAAAAGCCAATATTTGATCGTCCGAACTAAGCGATATATTTCGGGACCAAAACAAGCCGTCAGACGAACGCTTAGCTAGCTAGTAATCGTGCACGTGACACGACGGGGTACCAAATGGCGGGGATGCTTGACCGGAAGCCTTCAGCTAAACAAGTCGACTTAAACAGTGGTGGTCAGCATCCAATGATGAGTGATTGCTGTGGTCAATAATTTTGGGGATATTGATTTTTGTGATTTTTGCTAGTTGAGGTTTGTCCGCAATACTACAGCCCTACAGTAGCCTCTCAATTCATCACCCATACCAGACGAAATTTAATTCACCCAATCAAATCGCTGAACCGTTCTCACCACTGTCTCGTATTATACATGATATCTTCACAATTTTCGTTTTCTAAAATTTATTCCTACTGATGTAGTTATTGTCATATTTTTCCCTTTGAACTGATGGAGAGTCTATATGATGAAAAAGCTAACACCAACTACAATAGCTGATTCTTCTTTAAACAAGCCTTAAGCTTTCCTTCAAATTTAAATAACTAATCACTGTGCTTCAGGTCTGTTAGGAATTGAAGAGAATACTTCCTACTCATACAGATATTTACCAGAGGATAATGACTGTTTTCGGAGATGAAATGTGGCGAGCAGATCAATTGAGCTGATTTCGGGAAGTGGAGAGGATATTGGATAATGTGAGTCTAGATTGAGAATTGAACTTCGTTTAACTGCACAAGTTGACACCTCAGCTAGCTGCTTTTTAATATCATCACATTGCGGGAGATTTGTCTCATTACGGATGTCAGTGAAAACTAGTTGTGAGTATGGTTCTGGGAAGTACTATGCCCTTTGCGGTCTGGGCGGAGTACTTAGTTGTGGTATTACGCACACTGGGGTAGTTCCTTTGGATTTGGTGAAATGCCGCATACAAGTTGACCGAGCTAAATATAAGAACATTACAAACGGGTTCAAAGTTTCAATAGCGGAAGAAGGCATAAGAGGTCTCGGAAAAGGCTGGGCACCGACGTTTATTGGATATTCTCTCCAAGGACTCGGAAAGTTTGGATTTTACGAAGTGTTCAAGCATATTTACAACGGCTTTCTCTCAGAGGTATTAGTCATAGATTTGTCCTAACGAATGTTCAGGAAAATGCATATTTGTGGAGGACATCCGTATACCTAGCGGCAAGTGCCAGTGCAGAGTTCTTCGCTGACATTATGCTTTGCCCCATGGAAGCTGTAAAAGTACGAATTCAAACAATGCCTGGTTGGGCGAACACCCTGCGAGAAGGTGTACCAAAAATGTACAAAAACGAAGGTCTTGTTGGATTCTACAAAGGTCTCCCTCCCCTCTGGGGTCGTCAAATCCCCTATACAATGATGAAGTTCGCTTGTTTTGAGCGCACAGTGGAAGCATTGTATAAACATGTTGTACCTAAACCACGTGAACAGTGTACGAAAGGTGAACAGTTGGTTGTAACATTCGCTGCGGGTTACATCGGTAGGTATTGTTTTTGAAGTAAAATATATTTTTAGCTGGTGTATTTTGCGCTATCGTATCTCATCCCCCTGACACTATTGTATCGAAGCTGAACAAAGATCCCAATGCACGCCTGGTGGAAGTTGCTAAAAACTTGGGTCTTCTTGGTAAGTCATATTATCTTTTACAGGTGTAGTGAGTACTTTTCCATAAAGGCTTTCAAACTTCATTACACTCTGGTCTTATGTTTGGAATTATTATTAAACTATTTCACTTCATGTAGTCATACATGAAAAAAATAGCACCAAGTGAATAAATATAGAATAATACCGTTCGATAGTATGGCTCTTGGGAAAAAAACTAGTTAGTTTAGTATTAGACAAAGTGTTTGGAGGCAGTTCGATATAAGTAATTGCTACCCATGAGTCAATTAACTTTCAGATTCACCGATTTACCTCTTACTCTAAATTGTTTTTGTGATCATGTCATACTGAGCAAGTCCTGTAAGAACAGCCATGATGATTGACATGTGTTTAGCTTCAGGCAGTCTTTGCTAAATTGGGACAAAGCCGGTTCTGTGCTGATGCGCCAAAGCCACTCAGGGTATCTTCGAAAACGTCAAGGATGACTAGGTTGCTTGCTAGAACTATGTATCCAACCTGTCTGCCATGGTTAATGGGACTTCACAAGTAAAGGAAATACTAACCGCTATTACCATTCCACTCCCCAAAACTGTAAGTTAGTTTAAGCAGGTTATCCAACATTGTCTTGTGTTCTTGAGGGTAGGACATGTGCTGAGCTTACAGATATTCGATTTTTGGTTGACAGCATTTCTCAGGTGAGTAAATTGAAGTAGATCATTTCCTGAGAGAAGGGAACCACCTCCAGTATACACAATGTGTCGTTTTACAAATGAATTTACGATGTTAAAATGATCGTTCTCATTTCAAATGACATTTTCCTATAAACACTTTCACTGCTGTTTGGGATTAGATGAAGTCCCTTCATTAACATGACATTATTCGGCGACACTCGTCACAGTAGGATATTGCTACACCGACTCGAACAATGTAGCTGAAGACCTGCAAACTAGCAGGTGTAGGATACTGATGTGATATGTCTTAGGACCTTGTAAAAGATATGTCATCAATGTAGTTTATCAAACTCCCTATTTTACTCGGCCTTTTCCGCAGGCTCTCTAATGACCACGGACTTTAACCAAATTGAATATTTGTCTCCTTTTAGGTAGTCTGTACCATTCCTCTAAGACCATTTCTGTACAATCCAGTAATTAACTACCTAACTCAAATACCTATGTTATCGGCCTCAGTTACTTTGCTTCATTTGAAATTTTTGTAACTTTTACAGCTCCGCTCGAGATTGTACTTATCATATCCATGTTATTAAATAATGGGCAAATGTAAGCCAGTCGATCCGCCCCCCCCCCGAAGTGTTTCGCAGAAATCTTCGTGTCCCATTGGACATCATTCCATCTATTTGGGCGCATTGGTCTGGATTGTACACGTGCCCTAGTAATTCCGATTGAGATCCACAGCATTAAATAACGATATCCACCACTTAGCAACTAATTTACTGTGGCTTGAATAGTTTATTGTTAAAGTCTCTTCCTATGTTGATTTCAAGCTAGAACTAAAGGAATATACGATTGCAAAGAAATTACTAGTACCAACAAGCCTGGAAAGCTGAGGACTTCCTATTGCTCGGCTCTTCTTAATAGATATTGCATTACATCTTCGTTATTTATCTTAATGGCTACGTTGTAAACCAAGTTTGCAGACTTCGGAAATAAACACGCATATAGCTTACCGTCCGGTAATAATCAAGTCTTCGTCAATGACATTTTCAATCCACTTTTCACTAACGGCTTGGCCACTTGATGACTGGTGTCTGTTTGTGATTAACCATAGACCACTTACTTCCGTATTATAAATTTCGTAACAAACTACCAGTCCACTTGTCAATCACGTCTCATAAACCGTTAATGCCCAGCTCTCGCTACGCTCGGGCCCACGCTGTTCTTCGAAGATTTCTCAGAAACGCTTAGTTATAACGGACGCAAAAGCCAAAACACCGATCTGCCGTTTGATATTTCTGTATTGTTACACCAACATATAAAAGGAATAAGCGAACTAAGCAAACTAAGGTCTGTAAACAAATATTACAATAATAAATCGTTATATTACTTCTGAAGATATTTTACTCTTCTTTCTGAACAGCGACCGATGAGACGATGACTGTCGTATTGATGCCTCCGCGAAAATCGGGGAAGTTGATTTTGAGCAAACAACCAAGAATTGATCGTTCAATTTTCAACTCCATTGACACTCCCCGGCAAAAAAGGGATCCAACCCTTTTTTCCTTCACGATCAATGCACGTTGACTTGGATGCCATTGCGAGAACCTGGGTCACACGGACAGAGCTGAAATGGAAAACAAACAGAAAAGCCAACACACCACAAGCATACCCACAGCACAATCTCACACATCAATGACAACCTGCGCCTCCAGACAGAGACCTCCTCTTGACATGTTGCAACACAATCGCCACTTGCTAGAATGACTCTTGCAGAATGCAAAGTGACCATGGTAGCACCTCACGATACTCTACGCACATCCTCTTATCTACTCACTACCAATTACCACTGAAATCGCTTGTCACTCATTCTGCCTAAGTTCTAGTAGCGGTGACGCATGCGAGCCTCAGTCGTTTACGCTCTTTCTCCCCGGCGTGTGGGACCGCACCTAACAATTATCTCCGTATGCGTTTCATTCTCAGCAATAGCCTAGCCTCCCCGGCGTATACGACCCATCTGCTGTCTCTAACATCAATCAATTCATTCACGGATGTAGAAGACTCGAAACAACTTCAGAAGTAATCACGACGAAAATTTTAACAAAATTATGCAATAACAACAAGATACGAAAACAACAAGTAAACACAATGAATCCAAAAAACACCAATTGATATGACACACCACACGTATATACAAACAGTACAAATAACCTCGCGGATCATGTCTTGGTGGAATTATTTTGAAGAATTGGAGGACTTACACCAGTACGCCTGCAACCCTTCACAGGTTGACGATTGTAAGTTGTGGAATATCCAGACACAAACAAGATTAACCAACAATTACATCAATTGGAACTCACACAACTATTTAACACAAACATATGTACAATCAACACATCAAATGTTGTGGATTCTGGCACGACAAACTACCCTTGAAGAACCGTAGGACTTACAGCAGTACGCCTACATTCCTTCTCAGGTTGATGATCCAAGTGGAAGTCGTCCGGACACAAACAGAATTACCAACAGCTAGATGACAGATGATATCAATTCAGTATATGCAATATGAACATATGTACAAAATCACACACCGAGCACATTGGGCTGCTCATTGATGCGCTGCCCTTTGAAGAATTGTAGGACTTACAGCAGTACGCCTACAACCCTTCTCAGGTTGACGCTCTAGGTTGGAAAATCGTCGCAGAGTTCATTTGCTGACTTCCCGCTATCAGCTATATCTTCAAATCTGAACGGCAACACGCCCATGTCATTGTATCGTAGAATATAGATGACCAACAAACACACGACATATCTCATCAACCAAGTGTAAAAACAGAGTAATTTACACCAAAGATAATAACATTCAAATAGTAACTTGAAACTAGAAATGCCTTTATTCGTGCAAGTCAATTTAACAATTACTCTCTCCTTTACACTTGGCTTATTCTCACTAAACTGACCATTGATATTCGTCCATTCAAACGAACTGATACTAGCATAGTCATTGCACAAGATACTTGAGTTGATGGGCATCTGTTTCATTGTGGATGACAGCACCAACGACGACTGATTGATATCAGTTGATGAAGTTAGCGGTGGATCAAAAGCTGTTGTTGCTCGGCTTTCAGATAGTTGTCTAACTGCAAGACCACCACCACTGCTGTCTTTTACTATCAGCTCAGGTTTAGCACTAGCATCTGATGATAGGTGGGCTACATGCTGATCAATTACACTGACTGTCTCACAAGTATGCACACCTTTTGGAACTGCATCTGCGTTCAATTCTACTTCACGTTGTAGTTGTACAGAACCTTTATTTAACTTAGCAGTAGTAGGCATATCCCTCATCTCATCATGATCAACCAAAGACAAATCTGCACTATCATGATCATTATCACAAATATTCAATTTACCGTCAACTTCATCATTTTCAAACTCTTTAATAACAGAAGTAGACAATTTTGGTTCCTCCTCACAAATCATTAAAGGTTTTATATCTTCACTCTGACTAGTTATACTTTGTAAACTTGTGGAGTCAGACCTGGAGTTTACATTTAGCTTATCACTGAACTTGCTCACCGGTTCACAGTTCACTTTTGCATGTACCTCTTGAAAACGTGTAAAACGCAACCGTGCTTGTCTTGCATCTTGTAACTTATCTGTTGAGGATGTACTACGAAACCTGTTACACTCACTAGGTCTATATGCATTACTATACATCATGGAGTCTTCTCGATATCCATCGCTCTGAGGCCTACTCGTCATCAATGATTGCATTTCGCTCTCAGACTGCTCTATTCTAGGGGTGAGATCTAATAGACTGAAAAACTTGCTCATAGATTGATTGACACTAGTATTTACCAGTTTCAGGATATCATCAAACTTTGGCTCGATACCCTCATCCTCCATACGGGAGCTTATCTTCACCCACTTCCTTTGCAGTCGAGTAGGTAGACGTCTTGCTATTACTTCTAGTATAAAACTCGAGTTGAGGTCACTCATTCGATTCATCGAAATCATTCCATTCTTGTAAATTAGCAAATTATACAAAAACTCAGTGAGTGCCTGGGAGTCATCCTGTAATTGACCACCATTACCCTTAACAGCCTCGAATAATTTCCCTGCAATCATCGAAGGTCTTCCAAACCTTTGACGTAATATGCTCATAGCCTCATCGTAGCCCTCTTTTGGCTTCATAAACTTACAACACTGTATAGCTCTTGAAGCATCTCCAGTGCAATACCTCATCAAATACATTAACTTCAATTCATCATTTAATAAAAAACCACTCAACATGATCTCAAACTCCTTTACAAATTGTAAATAATCAGCCGGGTTTCCATCAAAACACCGTGGTTCCAATTTAGGGAGTTTGATGTTCCTATTATCCCTGAACGGCGAAACAGTAACATCAACCATGTCATGCTTAACATCAGACAAATCGTTACAATTAACAGACAAGTCACCATAACTTACTTTCCTGTTTTCATCCAAGACACTCTGTCCCTTCTTTGACCCAGGCATCGTTGAACTTGACCCAATTCCAAAAAGTTCCAGATATTGCTTGTTCAAAGAGGACTTGACCGGCACGAGGATAGATGAACGGCTGTGGTGAGAGCAGGCTGCTAGCCGATTGGTTGGCACTAATCTACGTTAAGGTCTAGGTCACTAATGTGGGCCGTGAGAAGATATGAACAAGCCTGAGTCAACAACCAATCACAGCAAAGTTAACGTGGCAAAATATGATTCGCAGAGAGAACTCTATTTGTCAAGGAATCCCGAAACAACCAATCAGAAGCCTGCGTTTGTCTACCTAAACAACCAATCAGATGACTGCGCTTGTCTATAATAATGTAGTTGAAAGATGTATAAATACGTGTTGATTTTCATAATAAAACGATCTGTTGCCTGGCCCTTGTCTTCTGTTGTTACATTTGGTGTCGCTGCCTACCGACAAATGAAAAGCCTATACCCTGCAGTTTTTGATGGAGACATATGGATCTTCGGGCAGGACTTCAAGGCTTCTGCGCAGTTGAGTGGCGTTCAAGATCTGTCAGCGATGGAGCTGCTACTTGGGACGCTGCTGGGAGGTCGGGTGAAAGCAGCATATGAAAGTGTGAGCCGAAGTATGGACGAATGTTCGACAGGGTCAGGCAAACAGTTTCCAAAGTGGGAAGGACCATATATGGTCACTTCGAGATGGGGTTACGCAGACACAGTCGCAATGGCGAACAATAAGAGGCGCGTGAACGTCAGCGAGCTCCAGAAATGGATACAGCGAGACAAGCCAACGATGACGCCTGCACCAAGTAGATCAAGCCGACTTCAGTCGCACGTATTTGACGGGGGGACGAGTGTGGTGAGAGCAGGCTGCTAGCCGATTGGTTGGCACTAATCTACGTTAAGGTCTAGGTCACTAATGTGGGCCGTGAGAAGATATGAACAAGCCTGAGTCAACAACCAATCACAGCAAAGTTAACGTGGCAAAATATGATTCGCAGAGAGAACTCTATTTGTCAAGGAATCCCGAAACAACCAATCAGAAGCCTGCGTTTGTCTACCTAAACAACCAATCAGATGACTGCGCTTGTCTATAATAATGTAGTTGAAAGATGTATAAATACGTGTTGATTTTCATAATAAAACGATCTGTTGCCTGGCCCTTGTCTTCTGTTGTTACACGGCGACTGTCCAAACATTCACCAACTGTTTGAATCCGCCAGATCTGTTTCTATCGTCAGAAACTGTCAATCACGTCTCATAAACCGTTTATGCCCAGCTCTCGCTACGCTCGGGCCCACGCTGTTCTTCGAAGATTTCTCAGAAACGCTTAGTTATAACGGACGCAAAAGCCAAAACACCGATCTGCCGTTTGATATTTCTGTATTGTTACACCAACATATAAAAGGAATAAGCGAACTAAGCAAACTAAGGTCTGTAAACAAATATTACAATAATAAATCGTTATATTACTTCTGAAGATATTTTACTCTTCTTTCTGAACAGCGACCGATGAGACGATGACTGTCGTATTGATGCCTCCGCGAAAATCGGGGAAGTTGATTTTGAGCAAACAACCAAGAATTGATCGTTCAATCTTCAACTCCATTGACACCACTCCTTTCCGATATCGCGCACACCTTAAAGTGTAACTAGCTGTCTAGTTGCACCGAGTCATAGTGCGCAAAATAAAACGTCCTCCTAGAGCAGTTCTTGCCCCATGGAGACTTGCCAGTACTTTTGTTTACCCACTGGCACACAATATTCTGTCACGTCAACGACTAGTCCACTCTTTTCCGATATCGCGCACACCTTAAAGTGTAACTAGCTGTCTAGTTGCACCGAGTCATAGTGCGCAAAATAAAACGTCCTCCTAGAGCAGTTCTTGCCCCATGGAGACTTGCCAGTGCTTTTGTTTACCCACTGGCACACAAGACCACAACAGCCGATCAATCGATTGTCACTCCATGTCATGCTCAATCAGTTCAGTAATTACACTATCCACTTACTCTAAACTCGTTCACTGTTGCACTTTGGTTCGTGTCTTATTTTGCACTCTGCATATGAATGACAGATAAACGTAAACTTTTCTTGTTATTTCCGTTTTTCTCAGGCATGTGGAGCGGACTTGGACCTCGAATTATCATGATCGGAACTCTAACAGCCTTACAATGGTTCATCTACGACGGGTTCAAAGTAGCTATGCAGTTACCACGCCCTCCTCCACCATCTATGCTAGAGTCTTTGAAGAAAAAACTGGAAAGTCAGATGCATTAAACTAGTCCTTTGCGCATGTAAACAACACTTCATTTTCTAGGACATCTCAGAAAAGTTCTTGTTATCATAGTTATATTCATATCAATGACCTAGCTAAATAGATTTAAAAACTGGACCACAATATTTGAATACACATTCTGTTTTGAAGAAAATTTTGTTTTCTATGTACATTTAAACGAAAGACTGCCGGATTTGCGTGCCAGTTCTGATGCGTCTTCTTATTTTTGGGGCAGGCGGTGTTGACTTAGGATTTTGAAATATCAGTGGTGCATCGTCATCTACGCAGAAGCTATCCAACTCATATTCATCTTGAAGGTAGGTTCTTTCTGTCGATCTGCTGTTGTAGCAGGAAGGACACTGACTTCGGCGCCTGTGTCGACTAAATATCGAGTCTGGTTTATCACACCATGGATGTAAAGTAGGCGGCTAGTGCCAACGGCGACGGTCGCCGCTAACGCGTGCCGGCGGGATAGTTTCCCACAGACTTTGAGACATTGCCGAAGTTACAAGGCTTACGGCAACACTTTGCTGCTTGGCCATAGGTGTTGTGGTACCAGCACCAGTCAGGGTTTTTCAGTGAACGTGGTTTGGACTTAGATCGACCACGTGAGTTCCTGAGTCGAGGAGATTTAGGACGACGGTCGGAGGATTTAGAAGGCATGTTTGACCTAGACATCTGTTGGATGGAGTTGCATAACTCTATCATTGCAGGATCCTTACTCCAAGTCTGCTTAGTCATCGAGCATATTTCGGGAACTGACCGTTTAGTCATTTCTAGAATCCTATCTGCAGTAATAGCTAAGTCCTCTATTACAGTACCCTGAAGTGTCATAAGTACGGTCTGTACAGACTGTGGCAGCTTGGTTAAGAAGAGTTCTCTAAACAGTCCTTCGTCGAACTGACTTTGGCCGACGACTTCTTTCATTCTTGTCAGCATGCTCACGGCTGACTGATCTCTTAACTCGATGTTACGAAATAATTCGTCCAGACGTCGGTCAGTGAGAATGTTTCTCCTGAGGAGGGATGCTTTGAGCACCTCGTACGAGTTACTTACCTCGGGACTGAACATCTGTGATGTTATGTACTTGCTGAATTCCCGCGGTAGGGCGTGAATAACTGCAAGTAACTGTGAACATTGATCGGTCATCCCATGCTCACAAAAATCCGCTTCAGCTAGCTGAAACCACGTTTCAGCATTATCTGGCCAGTATGGTACAAGCTGAATGGTTTTAGGAGTTGAGCGGATACGAACGACCTTGGGACTAAGATCACTCATAACGAAGATTATGTAGAATAATATATGGTGCAAGAACAAATACAAAATGGAACGAACTCACCGGGGTTATCTGCAGATTTATCGTGGGTGAAGTTCGCGGTTGGGCTCACCAGTTTAGAGGGGTTGACGGAATTATCTTACACAGCCTCTAAATTATTCTCGCGTACCAACAACAAAGCAAAAGCCAATATTTGATCGTCCGAACTAAGCGATATATTTCGGGACCAAAACAAGCCGTCAGACGAACGCTTAGCTAGCTAGTAATCGTGCACGTGACACGACGGGGTACCAAATGGCGGGGATGCTTGACCGGAAGCCTTCAGCTAAACAAGTCGACTTAAACAGTGGTGGTCAGCATCCAATGATGAGTGATTGCTGTGGTCAATAATTTTGGGGATATTGATTTTTGTGATTTTTGCTAGTTGAGGTTTGTCCGCAATACTACAGCCCTACAGTAGCCTCTCAATTCATCACCCATACCAGACGAAATTTAATTCACCCAATCAAATCGCTGAACCGTTCTCACCACTGTCTCGTATTATACATGATATCTTCACAATTTTCGTTTTCTAAAATTTATTCCTACTGATGTAGTTATTGTCATATTTTTCCCTTTGAACTGATGGAGAGTCTATATGATGAAAAAGCTAACACCAACTACAATAGCTGATTCTTCTTTAAACAAGCCTTAAGCTTTCCTTCAAATTTAAATAACTAATCACTGTGCTTCAGGTCTGTTAGGAATTGAAGAGAATACTTCCTACTCATACAGATATTTACCAGAGGATAATGACTGTTTTCGGAGATGAAATGTGGCGAGCAGATCAATTGAGCTGATTTCGGGAAGTGGAGAGGATATTGGATAATGTGAGTCTAGATTGAGAATTGAACTTCGTTTAACTGCACAAGTTGACACCTCAGCTAGCTGCTTTTTAATATCATCACATTGCGGGAGATTTGTCTCATTACGGATGTCAGTGAAAACTAGTTGTGAGTATGGTTCTGGGAAGTACTATGCCCTTTGCGGTCTGGGCGGAGTACTTAGTTGTGGTATTACGCACACTGGGGTAGTTCCTTTGGATTTGGTGAAATGCCGCATACAAGTTGACCGAGCTAAATATAAGAACATTACAAACGGGTTCAAAGTTTCAATAGCGGAAGAAGGCATAAGAGGTCTCGGAAAAGGCTGGGCACCGACGTTTATTGGATATTCTCTCCAAGGACTCGGAAAGTTTGGATTTTACGAAGTGTTCAAGCATATTTACAACGGCTTTCTCTCAGAGGTATTAGTCATAGATTTGTCCTAACGAATGTTCAGGAAAATGCATATTTGTGGAGGACATCCGTATACCTAGCGGCAAGTGCCAGTGCAGAGTTCTTCGCTGACATTATGCTTTGCCCCATGGAAGCTGTAAAAGTACGAATTCAAACAATGCCTGGTTGGGCGAACACCCTGCGAGAAGGTGTACCAAAAATGTACAAAAACGAAGGTCTTGTTGGATTCTACAAAGGTCTCCCTCCCCTCTGGGGTCGTCAAATCCCCTATACAATGATGAAGTTCGCTTGTTTTGAGCGCACAGTGGAAGCATTGTATAAACATGTTGTACCTAAACCACGTGAACAGTGTACGAAAGGTGAACAGTTGGTTGTAACATTCGCTGCGGGTTACATCGGTAGGTATTGTTTTTGAAGTAAAATATATTTTTAGCTGGTGTATTTTGCGCTATCGTATCTCATCCCCCTGACACTATTGTATCGAAGCTGAACAAAGATCCCAATGCACGCCTGGTGGAAGTTGCTAAAAACTTGGGTCTTCTTGGTAAGTCATATTATCTTTTACAGGTGTAGTGAGTACTTTTCCATAAAGGCTTTCAAACTTCATTACACTCTGGTCTTATGTTTGGAATTATTATTAAACTATTTCACTTCATGTAGTCATACATGAAAAAAATAGCACCAAGTGAATAAATATAGAATAATACCGTTCGATAGTATGGCTCTTGGGAAAAAAACTAGTTAGTTTAGTATTAGACAAAGTGTTTGGAGGCAGTTCGATATAAGTAATTGCTACCCATGAGTCAATTAACTTTCAGATTCACCGATTTACCTCTTACTCTAAATTGTTTTTGTGATCATGTCATACTGAGCAAGTCCTGTAAGAACAGCCATGATGATTGACATGTGTTTAGCTTCAGGCAGTCTTTGCTAAATTGGGACAAAGCCGGTTCTGTGCTGATGCGCCAAAGCCACTCAGGGTATCTTCGAAAACGTCAAGGATGACTAGGTTGCTTGCTAGAACTATGTATCCAACCTGTCTGCCATGGTTAATGGGACTTCACAAGTAAAGGAAATACTAACCGCTATTACCATTCCACTCCCCCAAAACTGTAAGTTAGTTTAAGCAGGTTATCCAACATTGTCTTGTGTTCTTGAGGGTAGGACATGTGCTGAGCTTACAGATATTCGATTTTTGGTTGACAGCATTTCTCAGGTGAGTAAATTGAAGTAGATCATTTCCTGAGAGAAGGGAACCACCTCCAGTATACACAATGTCTGTCTGTCTGGATTCAACATAGAACTTGGCACCGAAGTGCAGCAGTTCGAGTTGCCACGTTCCAAATAGCACACAGAGGTAGACAAGAAGATGAGTGGAGAGAATTAATAGAGTTTGACAAATATAGGAGTGAAACAGAATGGGTAATGGTAGAAAGGAATATGAAAGATTACAGAGATTGAATACATCTGCGCCATTGACAACAATTTTGAGCCATGTCACCTATTGTCTCCAGCCATTGATTCCTAGAGTCCCGAGGGCCCCAACCCGGGAGTCTGCATCTCCCTACCTGACTCAGTTTAACTGTCAAGGATTTCATGGATTGATGCCATGTTTTTGTTTGGCCACCACTGGCTCTTTTCCAACCTGAACCTATATCAGCTAACAATGCCCGTCGGGGGAGGCGGTGGTTAGGCATGCGCACCACGTGACCTAGCCATCTTAGTCTATGTAACTTTATAACCTCGTCGATTGATTTTCCCTCTTTGCCCAACACTCTACGCCTAACGTCAACATTACTTATCTTGTGTGTCGTTTTACAAATGAATTTACGATGTTAAAATGATCGTTCTCATTTCAAATGACATTTTCCTATAAACACTTTCACTGCTGTTTGGGATTAGATGAAGTCCCTTCATTAACATGACATTATTCGGCGACACTCGTCACAGTAGGATATTGCTACACCGACTCGAACAATGTAGCTGAAGACCTGCAAACTAGCAGGTGTAGGATACTGATGTGATATGTCTTAGGACCTTGTAAAAGATATGTCATCAATGTAGTTTATCAAACTCCCTATTTTACTCGGCCTTTTCCGCAGGCTCTCTAATGACCACGGACTTTAACCAAATTGAATATTTGTCTCCTTTTAGGTAGTCTGTACCATTCCTCTAAGACCATTTCTGTACAATCCAGTAATTAACTACCTAACTCAAATACCTATGTTATCGGCCTCAGTTACTTTGCTTCATTTGAAATTTTTGTAACTTTTACAGCTCCGCTCGAGATTGTACTTATCATATCCATGTTATTAAATAATGGGCAAATGTAAGCCAGTCGATCCGCCCCCCCCCGAAGTGTTTCGCAGAAATCTTCGTGTCCCATTGGACATCATTCCATCTATTTGGGCGCATTGGTCTGGATTGTACACGTGCCCTAGTAATTCCGATTGAGATCCACAGCATTAAATAACGATATCCACCACTTAGCAACTAATTTACTGTGGCTTGAATAGTTTATTGTTAAAGTCTCTTCCTATGTTGATTTCAAGCTAGAACTAAAGGAATATACGATTGCAAAGAAATTACTAGTACCAACAAGCCTGGAAAGCTGAGGACTTCCTATTGCTCGGCTCTTCTTAATAGATATTGCATTACATCTTCGTTATTTATCTTAATGGCTACGTTGTAAACCAAGTTTGCAGACTTCGGAAATAAACACGCATATAGCTTACCGTCCGGTAATAATCAAGTCTTCGTCAATGACATTTTCAATCCACTTTTCACTAACGGCTTGGCCACTTGATGACTGGTGTCTGTTTGTGATTAACCATAGACCACTTACTTCCGTATTATAAATTTCGTAACAAACTACCAGTCCACTCCTTTCCGATATCGCGCACACCTTAAAGTGTAACTAGCTGTCTAGTTGCACCGAGTCATAGTGCGCAAAATAAAACGTCCTCCTAGAGCAGTTCTTGCCCCATGGAGACTTGCCAGTACTTTTGTTTACCCACTGGCACACAATATTCTGTCACGTCAACGACTAGTCCACTCTTTTCCGATATCGCGCACACCTTAAAGTGTAACTAGCTGTCTAGTTGCACCGAGTCATAGTGCGCAAAATAAAACGTCCTCCTAGAGCAGTTCTTGCCCCATGGAGACTTGCCAGTGCTTTTGTTTACCCACTGGCACACAATATTCTGTCACGTCAACGACTAGTCCACTCTTTTCCGATATCGCGCACACCTTAAAGTGTAACTAGCTGTCTAGTTGCACCGAGTCATAGTGCGCAAAATAAAACGTCCTCCTAGAGCAGTTCTTGCCCCATGGAGACTTGCCAGTGCTTTTGTTTACCCACTGGCACACAAGACCACAACAGCCGATCAATCGATTGTCACTCCATGTCATGCTCAATCAGTTCAGTAATTACACTATCCACTTACTCTAAACTCGTTCACTGTTGCACTTTGGTTCGTGTCTTATTTTGCACTCTGCATATGAATGACAGATAAACGTAAACTTTTCTTGTTATTTCCGTTTTTCTCAGGCATGTGGAGCGGACTTGGACCTCGAATTATCATGATCGGAACTCTAACAGCCTTACAATGGTTCATCTACGACGGGTTCAAAGTAGCTATGCAGTTACCACGCCCTCCTCCACCATCTATGCCAGAGTCTTTGAAGAAAAAACTGGAAAGTCAGATGCATTAAACTAGTCCTTTGCGCATGTAAACAACACTTCATTTTCTAGGACATCTCAGAAAAGTTCTTGTTATCATAGTTATATTCATATCAATGACCTAGCTAAATAGATTTAAAAACTGGACCACAATATTTGAATACACATTCTGTTTTGAAGAAAATTTTGTTTTCTATGTACATTTAAACGAAAGACTGCTGGATTTGCGTGCCAGTTCTGATGCGTCTTCTTATTTTTGGGGCAGGCGGTGTTGACTTAGGATTTTGAAATATCAGTGGTGCATCGTCATCTACGCAGAAGCTATCCAACTCATATTCATCTTGTTCAGGTGTCTACAATGTTAAAAAAAAAACATTATTTTAACGTACAAATAAATAGGCTATAGACAACGCTACATTACATTAGTTGAGTAGGAGTAAATAATATCCTTTTTACGAAACAGTAAGAGCAGTAAAATAAGTTAAGTAACGTTGTAAGGCACCACGGTACTGACGAAAGATCACATAACTATTGAGGACCCAGTCTCTCCAAGTGTAATTTGTTGTAAGAGAGAGTTATGCATTTGCACAGCATTTACAGCTCACACTGGCCTCAAACGTTTAGTCCAGAAGCAGGACAATGACCAGTGGACAGACATCTGTGCACTTTGTTCTGACCACTTGACCCATGGGCACCATTGTTACTGAACCGGTGTTTTTTAACTACTGGGTCACTTACAATTTGGATAAAGAATTGAAAGTATTAGAACACACCCTATATCCAATAAGTGCAAACTAACCTGTGAAAAGATGAAGTTATTTCTCTTCATGTAACCTTTGTCACAAGTTTTCGGTGAAATGAAAGTGATTTTAGCTGGTGGACTTTTAAAACTATCTGGAAACAATTGTGGACTGCGAATAGCCTGAAGGTACACCTTCATCATATCAGATGTATTCACATGAGATGCGTCGCAATTGCCACTCTCAGAGTTGTCGTTTATAAAGCTGTCATCATACGTGTCTTGGTCATTAGAATGAAGGTGATCAGAGGACTCATTGTTAGAACATTCAGCTTGTGATAAGAAGAACTTATGATGTATGTGTTCGCTCTTGATTTTGTTCCCTTTTGTTGGTTTACCGGGCGTTGACGATTGAATAGAATTTTCATGAAAAATTTCTGACAAGCTGTCTTTGTGAACTCGACCGATTGAGGAATGTTCTGTAGTTTCTTTTATTGGCGATGAAGAGTACAAGATGTTCGGCGTATTCAACGTTTCTGTCACCTGTTCTATTGGTGACCAGTTGATCTGTGAATCAAAGGAACTGTTAGAAGCGGTTGAAAAGTCATCGTATTTCAACGTCTCGGCATTGGGGCAATCGCCTGCAATTTGGGGTACTTGAGTAGGCTTAATAACATCGTCTAGCTCTTCACCTAAAGAAAGCTTCGTTTCAAAGGTAAACAGATCAGTTGATTTGTAAAATTCACTAACATTTTGAAATGTTGGACCAGTAAAAATGGCGCTTCGGAAGCCATTATTTGGTGCAAATGATTCATCTTCTAGCAGAGCTGATGCATCTAAATGAATAGTCGAATTTTCCAGTAAAGCTAAAGCCTCGTCGGAAGTAACTTGACTAGATGAAGCAATCGAATTCGCCTTGACAGATCTTCGCACAAAAGGAGTACTCCGAGCTATACTGTTTAGGGTTTTATGTAGGTTAAATGACTGAGTAGTGTCTTTCACAGCATTATGAAGTGAAGTTTCGGTTTTTAGTGGACTTGCTGTTGTCTTTGGTTCTTCAACATATTCATCATTAGTTATGATATGTTCATCAAATGAGTGGATTTCACCGGGAAGTTGTATTTCTGTATTAATAGCTTCAAGCAAACTATTTTCTAAATTCAACTTAAGATCCAATTGTGGACTTAATGGAATTAGGAGTGGACTACATTTTTGGTCATCCATACTGGCTAGCCATTTATTTAATCCAGCTTTCAGAGATTTAACTGTAATAACATCTTTCCTATCCTGTAGATGATTAAGTATTTGACTACACTCTTCTGTACAATCGTTGAAATCACTAACACGAGGGTCAATAAATAATTCGTTTGACACCAAACCTTTAATTGCCTTAAGGCAATGCACAAATTCTGCTATTGAGTTAGTCATATTACAATCAATAGTAATATTGGTGGGTTTGGTGACAAGTATGTCAGTGGAAGGCATACACTTTTCTTGCGGTGAGCTAGGTGATTTCACTTGACTACTCTGTGATAAAGGTGCCGTTTTAATTATTCTGCTCATATTTGTTTCAATATCGACATTCCGTAGGCCGAGAGCATGATAAGACAGTTGAGTAAGGCCCCGACGATGAAAATCCACCAATCGGAGAACTGACATCAGATGTTGAGATGAAGAAGATGAGCCAACATTCGATTGCTTAACAAGAGTAGACTGCATAGTTTCTCTGAACGTGTCTAGTCTTTGATGAGATGTTAAATTGTACATATCTGTGATTGTTGGATAGTCAGATTTAGGAATGTCTGTTGCAACTGACTTTAATAGGTAAAGGATGGGACTAGATGTAACAGCATGTAACCTAATGGGCAGTTGATCTAGGCCAACTGATTCCGCGTGCAATTTGTACACATTTTCGCGTAAACTCTTTTTTTGGACAACTGGTCGACTTCGCGGTGATTCCTTGTCAACAAGTTTCTTCTCTATTTGTAAACTTTTGAAATGAAGTTTAGGCTGAACACTGAGTGGAACCATTCTGGGATTATGTGGATAAAATGCAAGTTTACGATATGCATCTCCTTCAAGCAAAGCTTTATGGACAGAAGAAGTCTTTGCAATACTTATAGCATGATTTCTTTCTTCACGACCTGCTGTAAGCAACACAACTATTCGTCCCAAGCGTTTCCTACCGGTTCGACCGAGTCGTTGCATTAATCGTATTGGTGATCTGGAGGCATCAAAGCAAACAATTAAATCAACTTGTCCAACGTCAATACCCTCCTCACCCACACATGTGGATACAAGAGTGTTATAAACACCTGACCGAAAAGCATCCATCACACGTATTTGATCACGTTGTGATATCCCACCTTGTCCATTCGAAAGTCTTGGAGTGGCTATTTTAGGTGAATCACCTTGATTATTTACGGAAGGACTACCACCTGCTCTTGTCCCTTGTCCTATAAATGATGCTGGTCTAATCAATGGTCTCAAATGTTTGAGCATATGCATAATTTCTTCAACTGAGTCACGAAATTGAGTGAAAACTATGACGCGTGTTGAATTCTTTTCACATACATTCGTTTTATCATATGAACGAAAATGATTACACAATATTTCTTTTAATTTATCCAGCTTTGGATGACCTGCCACAAATGGTGACTGAGAATGCAGTAACTCTGGACCAATACATTCTTGCTTCCACACTCCATCAGCACATTCTACATTCATACCGAATCGTTGGGCTAGTTCTGTCCATAGATAATTCATATGAGGCAGTTTGTTAAGTTGACTTCTTACCAGTGGACTAGCTCGACTTCCAGAGTAAACACCCTCTAAATAACGATAAAGAGGGCGTAAACCATGCTGAATCAATAATTCCAAACCATGAAGCAAACAGATAACTAGACCGAAATCACACTGAATTGAACTACTCTCCATTGGAGTGACACTAGGTAACATTTTTGAACACCAATCTTCCCTTGCCTTGACAATTGTATATTTGGCTAGTCTTTCTGGACGAAGATCTCCGACACACTGTGATAGAGCTCCACGTTCACTAAGTCTATCAAGAGGCACACGGATACATTCAATCAATTGATTATAATATCGTGTTAATTCTGGACCAAGAGGAACAACTATTGTCTCTAATTGTCGATGTTGAGTGTAAGGTCGGACATCAGCACTAGTATCAGTTCGAAGTTCAAGGTGAGATATGAGTAGATTAGCCATCAGCGTTTGTACACCTTCAATATCAGAAGCAGGCGTAGCTGACAGTGCAATAATTCGAAACTGTCTATGATTGTATGGTGGATCTGTTAGGATTCGTAATATCTGAAAAAATAAAGTCATTTGGAAAAAAGCAAACATTATAATACCGACATTATTATAAGATGTTATTTACAAAATCGAAACAAAGTTATTCCATATTAGTTTGTTTATTAGATGTATCACACGGTGAAACAGTATTATTTACTGGATGACGTTTCCAACAATAATAATAATATTAATGACGACACCAACAATAAGGAATCTAAATCATCAGTAGTAATTCCATACAAGCAGGGAACCTCGGAAACCTTACGCACAATTCTTAACAAGGCAGGAATAAAAGTGGCTCCCATTCAAACTGCCCATAAACTCAATTAAAAACAAGCTTTGTCGGTTAAAGGATCAATCCTGTTAAGCCTTTAAAACAAAACAATTTAGTTTATCTAATACCCTGCTGGAATGATTGTCAGGTCAAATACATAGGTCGAACTAGTAGAACAGGAACAGTCAGCCTAGCCGAGCATAAAAGCCTAGCAAAATCTAGATTATTTGAACCGAATAAGATAAGAAATCTACAGAATAGTTCAGCTGTAGCACTCACCGCATGCAATCGCACACAACCATACAGTAGGATGAGATAGGATGACAGTTTTAAAATCTAATGTCACAGGACGGAGGGGGAGACTGATAACAGAAGCTTTGTTTATCGAATCAACTGCAATACATGTTATAGGAATGTATCAACACCTGTCCCAGATATCTGGAAAATTCTACTACCCGAACGATGACAAATAAGAGAGAACAAAGAAAACTATAGAACTCAAGTTCTGAAGTCGTGTGATTATAATCGATGAGATGATTATGAACAATAAATTTTGTTCGAAACATCATCCAGTAAATAATACTATTTCACTGTGTGATATATCTAATAAACAAACTAATATGGAATTACTTACTACCAAATAGCACAAGTTTTACACATATACAAAGCAAAGTTAGTTAGGCTGAGTTTTTTCTTATAACTCATTTCTCACGAAAAATCGACAGCTACTCACTCCACCGTAAATAGCTGAATACCATGACAGTCATGAAATAAGTACTATTTTGACAAGTAGTATAGAAATTTATATCTCATTGTGTTTAGCCCCATTTATGACAGAAAATAGAAGAGTCTACAGAATTTTATGAATGGATATCTCTAGCGAACAAATGCATTCAACAGTGCCATTGTCAGACATCTCCTTGACACCGGTTATGAGGTGG